AAATAAAACGACACGTGATGGATAGTGTACCCCGGGGGTATCTTATCCGAGTGGTTATTACGGGAATAACTTAGAGAGAAGTCAGAGCAAGTAAGAGGAGAGAGAGTCGATTGTATTAAATGAACGCAACGTGCTTTACAAGGAGAATAAGGGCTGCTATTTATAGCAGTCATAAGTGTGATGAGAGTACACGTGTCAACAATCTGACGGCCGAGGGGTCACCTCAATCGGATGGTACCAGCATATGCATGTGCATCGCATTAAATGCGGTGGGTGGATGTGATGCCGCATTAAATGCGGTGGTTGTCTGTCCCCAAAGGGAATCTTTGATGATCGCGCCTGTGGCCGTAGGCTCCCTTATGGCCGAAGGCTCTGTGTAGCCGAAGGCTACCCTTATGGCTGAAGGCTACCTTTATGGCCGAAGGCTACCTTCATGCCCGAAGGCTACCCTCATGGCCGAAGGCTACCCTCATGGCCGAAGGCTACCCTCATGGCCGAAGGCCTTGTGTAGCCGAAGGCTACCCTCATGTCGAGGGCTCTCTTATGGCCGAAGGGTCCTGATTTCTGCCGTTTTCTCGCCGTAGCTTTGTATGCTCAAATCCGGCTGTCATGTGAGATTTGGAGCCCTCGGCCAAGAAGGCCGAAGGCACCCATGTGTGCACCGTGGGTTTCTTTATTCTTGGGCCGCTGTGTTCGGACCTTGTGTGCTCATTGGGCCTGTGTAGGAGAAGTAGGAGTCTATGGGCCGGGGGTCCCTAGGCCATATACTCCATCAGGAGTCCCCCACTCCTTTTGCCGAAAGGTACTTGAGGGAAAAGGAGTAATTGCGTTGATGCGTTGTCTCCGCCGAGGGCTAATCTCTTCATCACCACAAGTGACTTGTGGGAAATTTTTGATATTTCGCTTCTGCCGAAAGGTATAGTGAAGTATGTAGCCGAGGGGTTCTCTTTTGATGTTTGCCCGAAGGCTGCATGCGTCACTTGTAAATTTTTGCATGTGGACATTTTGTTCTGTGTGATTCCCGAGGGGTGTACCTCAGTCCCCCACTTCTTTAGGCCGAAGGCAAGTTCGGGCTGAAGGAGTCATGATGTGCTTTGCAATATTCCCGAGGGGTGTGTCCCAGTTCCCCACTCCTTTAGGCCGAAGGCTATTTGGGTTGGAGGAGTCTTATTGTGATGTATTGACCCGAGGGCTATATGTGTGAGGGGTTGATAATATGTGATAAGCCGAAGGCTTATATGGCTCTTGCTCGAAGGCATAGGAACCCGAAGGAAACTGTTGCCTGTGTGCCGAAGGGTGCTAGCTGAGGCCACTTCGCAATATAGCCGTTGGAATGTTACCCGAAGGCTTCATGCATGGCGGATGAAGGTGCTGGCATGAGATCATGTGATATAAGAGATCTCAATGGTTAGTATGTGATCTCTTAACAATAGTATTTTAAGCATGGTTAGTATGTGATCTCTTATATTTGTGGGGAGGGTTTCTGGGGAGGGTTTTATTTGTGTGAAACACAAATGGCCAAGGGCACTTGGTGCCTGCTGGAGCCGAGAGGTATTGTCCCCTCAGTTTTTATGTGTATGTACAATCATGCATGAAGTAATGTATGCATGGGGGCGTCCTCAAGGGAACGACTTGCATGAGGCTCTCAGGTCCTCATGGCTACAGCACTTGGTGTAGCCGGCGATATACTCGCCCCTCGGCCTCGACGCCTGGCGCGAAGGGCTAGGTTGGGATGGTGGCGAGGGAGAAAGAATTGTTTTTATTTTTACAAAGGCCTTGGGCCGGGAGAAGCTTGATTAATTCTAAAGCCTTGGGCTTAGGGTAAAGAGGCGATTTTGAAAAAAATTCTTAAGGTGTTATATATATATATATATATATATATATATATATATATATATATATATATATATATATATATATATATATATATTAATAAATAACGAGTGGCGATAGTAATAGAGTATAATCGCTGCTTGGGGCCTGTAGATAGGAGGAATCCATCTGGCCGAAGGGTCTCTCCTTCCTTGAACTTGACCTTAGCTAAGAGTTTAGGGTTGCAATGTGCTCATAGGATGGTGATGGGGGCCTTATGTCGATGGCCGAGGGGGCCGTGACTAAAGATTCTTGGGGGGTTAATGATTAGTCTACGGTCTCAGCGGACCGCCGAGGGCATGGTACTGCCGAAGGGCGCCGCGTCGTGCCGCCGAAGGGCACCAAGTGGCGTCGCCGAGGGCCGCCGAGGGTCGGGGGTCCCTGGGCCATATACTCCATCAACACCCATTTAGACTAATCGACATCAAAGGCTAAATAGTATGGAACACTCGAAGAGCTACAACTGGATGCTCCTTAGTTAATTAAATTGCTCAGCCCAAAAACTGAAGAGGCAGAACTCAATCCTAATCCTATGAAATTCCGCTGACCGCCGGTCACTGCCCTTGGCCGGTGTGTTTATATCTCTAGAAGCCTGATTTTGTAAGGAATTGAAGAGGTGCCGCCTAATCTACCGCCTCTGCTTATTGGGCATTCGGTGAAGAAGCCAAAGGGCTAGAAGCCGTGACTCGTGTCTCGTGAGGGTGCGATGATGCAAAGGTAATTTTCCTTTATTTAGTTTTGTAGTTTTATTCTTTCAACGTTTAATGTAATTCAGTAATTTTATAATTGTGTATAATTGTATAAATCAATTTATGAATGTGGTGTCGTGTATGAGGTGTATAAGTCATAAGTGCAACTTGATTTTGTATGAATGGCAACTTTGTAAGTTTGTATTACTGATTTGTGAATTATGAAGTGATTTATTTGTGAATTACTGTATTACTGATTTGTGAATTATTTGAAGTGATTTGTACTCCGTATATTTTTGTGAATTAGTGAATTAGTTTTAACAGGTGATTTGTGAATTAGTTTATCCACTTTAAAAGTTACGTTTAAGTAATAACTAGTGCTTATACAACTTATGAATTCAGGTTGTGTAATTATTATTATACAAAGTATGAGTTTATTACTTTATTGTTGTAAAATTAGTTTGTAAAATTAGTTAAGTTAAGCATGTTAAAATTCCTAATAAGGATTGGAGAGTTTCCAAACACTTCTCATGAAAAGAAAAAAAAGGGCAAACCAACCTCGTGTTGAATTTATCTCCCGGAGTAGTTAGTTCGCTATTATGTAAACATTAAGTTTTCTAACATTTCTTATATGTCCGAATGAAAGTTTTCTAATCATTTGAGTTTAGATATGTGTTTATTTTCAAAAATTCTGACTTTTTTATGAATTGCCCCTTCATACAAATAATTAAGGGACGTGTAGAGAAACATGTAAATCGGCGTAAACAACGAAAAAAATCTTCATATATTTCTTGCCTTTCTCGGCACCGGCTGATATAAAGTTCTGGTTCCGTCACTGCCCCTTAGCTTTTAGTTTCAAAACTAATTTTATAGCTTCATACAATAACTAATAAGAGTTGTAAGAGTCTCCTTAATGTAGAGAGAGGAGCGGCAAAGGGGAAACCCTAGCCTCCTCCTCTTTTCTTCTTTTCTTCTCCTCTTTCAATCTTCTTCTGGTTCCAAACATGAAAAAGACTTCGTTTGATAGGTGTTTTCAGTTCTACCTTTATGTTTATTTTCTAGCGTTGTCAAGAGATATTATTTTCGGTAGCAAAGTGTCGCTCACCAGATGTATATTCCCCGCCATCATCGGTCAGGAGTTCTTGTGTACTAGTAAGAGGTTCGTATTGACTTCTTCATCAATCACGCCATCATCCTCCGCTCTACATGGCTCCCACTAAATTGGTGAGGGAGAGGTCGATTAGCCTATAAATATCCCTATCCTTTTTTTTCATTTCATTTTTTATGCTTCCCTACTTTCCTCTCAGAGGTTTTCTCTTTACATCATACTCTTTGCTCCGAGCAATGTTTCAACGGGTCACACAACCTTCCAAGGCGTGTTCCCTCATAATCTTTAAGGTATGCTCTCATTCACCCTTCCCCTTATTTATTTATCTTTTCATTTGCTTTTGAATACCCCAAGATCCTAGTATGTTGAGAGAGGGATCTCCCACCATTTCCAATTGGTGGAATGGTAATACATATACCATCATGTTTGGATTGCTTTTGAAGGTCTATCCTTCCATCTTCAGGACATACATGCTTTATTTGATATTGCAGGCTTGATAGGCAAGCCCCTCAAGATAGATGCAACAACTGCAAATCTATCCTGCCCTTCAGTTGCACGTGTGTGCGTTGAGCTCGATTTAACCCAAGAATTACCACAAAAAATATGGATCCAATGTGGATCATCATGTTTCTTTGAGCCTATTGTTTATGAAGACAAGCCGGAATATTGCAAATCATGTCTTCATTTGGGGCATTCTGCGAATAAATGTCCCAAGAGAGGCATTAATCAGGCTTTACTTTAAATTCAGGCTGATCCAAAGGTTCCTTTGGGAGGTAAGGACAAAGGCATACAAATCACAGAGATTACAAAAAAATAGTGGGTTGCTAAAAACCCAACTATTACAAATTTCAAACACTGCTACCAACAATTAACCCAGCAAGGTGTTTGATCCTTCTTCTTCTAGGGAAGCCCCTCATGCCACACATCTTGATGAACCATAACTTGTGGACCTCCAGAATGAAACTGATATGGAGGAAGTCTATCATGACTCTGAACCTGAACATGTTGAACGCCAGAATTCTCAGCATGATGCCCACTACACCAACTGAAGTCATTCATAGCGGCTAAAAAACGCTATAATTTCATTTCATAGCGTTTTATAATACGCTATGACAGGACATGCTATAGTAGATATCCAGCTTCACATAGCATTTTTCAAACGCTATTAAATATAAACAAAAGATAGCGTTTTTAGTGCTATCAAAGATAGAACCACAATATTAGGTGTACTACTTTATATAGCAGTTACCAAACGCTATCAAAGCATAGTTATAGTGTTTTGATGTTGCTATGAAATATGAATACAAATTTCATACAATTTAAAAAAGTATTATAAACTTACTTATTACAATACCACACCATCAGGTTTTTTACCTCCATATGTATTCGAACAAGAACATCAAACATTTCATTTATATGTACGAATTGATACAAAACTAACTTCACTGTAATTAAAGTTATTAAACATACAAAATTAACTTATTTTACAACAAATAACATATACTCGGAACATGTCAATAGCTCATAGTAGCTCATACTAAACAAATATACGAATATGATAAAAATAATTTCGTTGAATTACATATGACTCTAGATGATCCTCACATCTTCAGAAATTTGATGTATGCACGCTGTCACATATCCCTGAAAAAATAGCTATTGCTAATGAGATCACATACTCATTTTTAACAAAACAGAAGACAAAAGATCAAGCAATAAATCCTATGCAAAAAAACAGAAGAACAAAGAACGAAAAAATCAAGAAAATAAGTAATTACATATGACTCTAGATGACCCCTCTCTCATCATCAACAATTGAGGTATGCACTCCGTCACATATCCCTGAAAATAAAAGCTATTGCTAATGAGATCACATACTCATTTTTAACAAAATATAAGACAAAATACATCAAGCAAAAATCTTATGCAAAAAACAGAAGCAAAAAAATGAAGAAAAAAAGTAATTGAAGAAATTAATAGACATGCATCAAACTAATATCGAACATTCCCACTCAAAAGACAAGTAATAAAAACAAATCAAATCACCGCTACTTTTTATTAGTAATTTTACTGCAAACTCATTCTTACCTTTTCAAATTAACTTTACGGCAAATTTAATTCTTACACATTAAACTAAATATAGTCTATAAATACTTACAACCTGGGTTTTAAAGCATAATAAATTTATCAAATAAAATTAACTCACTGCTACTTTTAAAATGGGGAGTAAGGGGGGCAATTGAGGCCTTTTCCCTAATTATAATAAGTACATCAAATTTCCTTCTAACAAGCCAACTTCGTTCCTAGTTTCGCTACCCTGTTTTAGCCTCCCCCCTCGAAGGCGTGTTCTGGCAGAAGCCGGTGTAGTGGAGCATAGCTTTAAAGAAATATTAAATCTACTATAGCTATAGCTAGAATGCCTAATTCAATCACTTCTCTTGCAGACCCTTGAATTGCAGGGGAGTGAGCATATCCATTAGTAAATATGGACTCCTTTGAATTGAGATAAAAGCAATGCTACATTATGTTACTACTCTTGATTGATTTATGTGTATTTCATATATTAAACAACACAAGTTCATAGTCTATGAAAGTTATGATAAAATAGTTTAGAATCACTATAGTTCTTTGTGGATTAAACATCCAACTGGACATTGACTTCATAGAACTTTTTAAATGCTTAAAAAGTTCTAATAAACTCAAAAGTAATAAATATTGGACATACGCAAAATAAAAGTATGTTATTATCTACAAAATTACCAAAAAAATGAAGTGCAAACGTAATTTGAGAGCATCAAGGAGAGTAAGAATTTAATTTACAAACAAAGAAAACTTGTAAATACTAACTAGTACGGAGCAGTAAATATTTACTTTTTAAATTACTTACTTTAATTTTCAAAGTAAGTTATATATGCATCATAGCTTAGCAAGATTATTAATCACAACCTTGGATTTGTCTTCAATACCTAATAAATAACATACCCATTCAGCTCTGTCTCAATGAAGAGGCAACTCTCTTCATGTTCTCTGTCAAGTAAAACCTCAATGAAAAATGCAATTTCCAATCAAATTAAACACAACCTGGGGTAAATGATACTCCGTACAAAACACTGAAAACCCGCAAAATACTAACCAGAGAAGATAAATTAAAGCTTGAAAATCACCTCAAATGAAAATATTCCTGACTAACAAGTCTCTGTTGTTTCCTGGCCTGCACAAAAAATGGTCCTTGAACTAAAATTGATACGAAAAAAACACAAAAATTTTAAAAGTATTGTCTAAATATATAAAACCAACTGCAAATCAGAAAAAGTGCTCAATCGAGCTTGGTTTCAATCATACAAAACAGTGGAAAACAGAAAATTTATTGACCGGAGCTTGAAAATCAACTCCAATGAACATATTCCTAACAAACAAGTCTTCCCTGCACAAAATTAGATGGCCATTTAAGCAAAATTGATACACAAACACCAAACATATTAAAAGCTTAGTCCAAATATCTCAAACCAACTGCAAACCAGAAAAAAAAAAACTCAATCGAGTTTGGTTTGGAGAAGATTAAAGTAGAAAACACTTGAGCGATTACTTATGAAGATGAATTAATCCTTACCCTAAGCATCAATAGTGATAGGGCTGAGAGAGAACGGTGAAGGCGAATCCAGTGAAAGGATAAAACTAAAGTGGCTTGAGAGATCGATGAAGGAGATGGCCTGGAAGGAGGACGGTGAAGGAGACGGCCTGGAAGGAGGACGGTGAAGGAGACGGCCTGTAAGGAGGACGGTGAAGAGACGGCCTGGAAGGAGGACGGTGAAGGAGACAGCCTGGAAGGAGGTCGGTGATGGGGACGGCCTGGAAGGAGGACGGTGAAGAGACGGCCTGGAAGGAGGACGGTGAAGGAGACAGCCTGGAACAGGGGCGTATCTACTATGGAGGCAGGGGGCAGCTGCCTCCACTCAACCCCCACCCAACCCCATTATATATATATTACAAATTTTATTTGTATACGTATATCATTGTATTATACTGAAGTACATAGTATAAGTATCCATTAAAACATTTCTAGTTTAAGCTAACGCAGCAGCCAAGCGGATGGAGTTGTAGGCACTCTTCCAAAGTGTCAAGCGTTCGAATCCCTTTGGCAATTCCACTTTGTTTTATTTTTATGCTTTCTTGAAACTGTTTAAATGAAGTTTGTCCAAATATAAAATTCAAATTAATTTTTTTAATGTAGCTAATAAATGATATGGAATTTCAATAACATATTTTCACACTTGATTAATATTAAAACATGTTTATTTGTAACTTAAATCACTTATAATTACATATTTCATCCATTTCTTATATATTTCTGGTTTTGTATTTAAATAAACAAGAGAATGTCTAAACCTAATATCCAAATTAGTTTTAAAATAATTTATTTTAATGTAACTAATAAATTATATGTAATTTCGATCACATCTTTTTGCACTAAGTATTAAAACACACTTGTTTATTTGTAACTTAAATTAGTTATAAACATATAATTACATATTTCATTTCTTTCTTATAAAAAAATTGTTTTATTTTTAATCAACTATTCAACTGTCAAATTTTTAATTAATATTTATTTCCTAAATATGTGTGATACTGTTAATGTAAATTTGCCCCTGCTGGCTGAATATCCTGGATACGCCACTGGCCTGGAAGGAGGTCGGTGACGGAGACGACCTGGAAGAAGAACGGTGAAGGGGGCGGTCTGGAAGGAGAACGGCGAAGGAGGCCGTCTGGAAGAAGAGAAAGAGAAGAGAGTAAGGCTCTATTTGCAAACACAACTAAAAAATCACTTTCCAGGTTTTGGCTTAAAAAAGCTATAAAAAAAAAGATGTTTTCAAACGACAACTTCTACTTAAATGAATTACTTAAAAGTTAAAAGTTAGAATCTGCTTTTTACTTTTTCTATTACACAAAAAACACTTATTTTACCAAACACCACCAACTTTTACTTTTCAAAATCACTTTTTTCTCAAACACTACCGACTTTTATTATTAATCACTTTTTTACCAAATCATTTAAAAAAGTTAAAAGCACTTCCCAGTTGGGTTTGCAAACAGAGCCTAAATTTATTGTGAAAGGTGAAAACCTAAGCCGCTTTTTTGTTGCCCGCCTATATTTTATTTCACTCGGTTATCTATCGTAGCGTTTTGTTGTTGTTCCATGCGTCCTATTTTTATTTAGGAGCAATAATTAAAATTACAAATGTGAATCATAGCATAAGCCACACAAACGCTATCGTATACTGCTATAAAAATGAAATATTGTTGCAGTGCGCGCTATTCAGAATCAGGAGAAAATTAAACTAGTAATCAGTGGTTGAATGAAACTCTTTCTGGTATGAATAATAGCAAACTTGTGGGGCCAATTCTTAATGATTCTCAGTTGCAAATGCTTCACCATGAGCTGGACTTTGACTTTGAACTGGCTTGCAAAGATTATTCATTAGACAATGGGAACCTCAAGCAAATTGAAGACACTCAGACTAGGAGAGATGATCTCCCTAATATCATAAGAAGTGATTATGATAGGAGTTCTTCATATTTTAATGTGTTCTTGTATAAATCAGGGTAAAAGGGGCATATTGTCACGTATTATTGTCTATTTTCAGATTTACATGTGAAAAGATGCATCAAAAGTCTGTTTATTTAATTTATCTTCTTTTCGGGTCAATTGCGTGATGAAACTGGCATTTTTTAAAACAAATGAATTGCTATGGAAGTTTGCAAAGATATATGTTACAGATTCCTTTTGGAGCATAAGATAACAAAGGAAAGCAATCCGCAATTAATGGAGTAGTAGACTACAAGAATAGAAAGAATCATAGATTTTAAATACTTTACTGATTTGCTGCAATTGTTATTTTTGATTTATTTTCTTTCCATTTAAGTTGACATAGAATAAGGGAATTGATTGTAGAATCAACTCTATATATTGGCAGAATCCTGCAGGAATAAAGTTATGCAATTTTCACCCTAAACTACTGAGCATTGCCAAGGGCAAGCCTCGTCTCATTCTCTGGGACTCGTCAAGGACGACCCCTGCCTTCTTTCATTATTTCTCGTAAAAAGAAGACCATTCCATTCTCTGTCCTTCCCACGTCAAGCTATAGACCGTGGACGAGGGCTTGGACCAACACACTTAACAATACATTGACAAATTGTTCAATGAGGAGAGTCCAAGAGAGGAAGAAATCATGCAAGGAAGCTCAAAACCAAGAGGGGTCGCCAATATGGCCACTTTTGATGAAAATGGGCGATACATAAAGACACATGTTCGTATTTTGATCATAACTTTGCGCATGATTGCCCAAAGTTCGTGCTACGAGTTGCATTACATTGAAATCTTCTTGATCCACAACTCTTATGAAGAATACAGAACCAAATAACGATTGTAGAATAGACATATTGCTCAAAGAAGTCAGACATTTGCGGTGGCAATGGAAAGTGACATGTGCTCACTGTTTTGGCCGAATCTCATAAACTACACATCCAAAACATGTAATTAAAATTCCAGTAGTTAGCCAATAAAGAGAGATACAACTTTGGTGAAGTCAACTTTTTCATTTGACAGGAGGCGGTCTATAGGGCGCCCACTTTTCTGGACGCCTTCGAGTTTTTGATAGTTTCAGCACATAACCCTTTGCATGGCGACAAAATAGTGGAAGGTTGTCAACGGGGGCCGGAGGGCAGCCGCCCTCTGTGGCCGCCTGTGGTGGGATGCGATTTATGAGCTGTCAGTCGTTGAGGCAAGCCGTCCTCTGTGTGGGCGCCTGCGGCAGATTTGATGCGTACACTTAGGTTTGCCAGTGATCTGATGTAAGGCTGCGGACCATGTCCGGAGGGCGGGCGCCCTTCTGACTGCTGCCACAAATCTCCGGCTATAATAAAAGACCTCTTCCATCCTCAACTCAAAACACACCATCTCAAGCCCAACTCAGATAAAAAAGGGCGTCTTCTTCCTCCTCAAAGCTCGGATTTCCACCATTGTTGAACCTTCAACGTCAATCTTTCATATCTTTCTCATTTTAGCTCTAAGTTGTAAGTTCTTTATATGAAAATTCATCCTATCATCATGTAGATTCTGAATATGTTGTTTTTGTTTCCCAAATATTGGTGAAAATTTCTCTAAATTAATTTTAAGAATTTCATGTTTTCCATTTTATTCAAGAAAAGTAATTTTTGTTGTTATATTGATCTCCTACTTAATAAACTCAGCACTTAGTTTAAATGTTGGGAGTATTCGCTTTAATATTTTCTTTTGTTGTTATTATTTATTATCATGCCTAATTTTATACGTAAAGTGCTAAAACTAGTAATGAGTTGTTGTAGTTAATTTACTCTTGGGCATGAATTGAACTAAGGAATATGGGTTGACCTTGTTTGACTAAAAATTAGGAGTTTAACTAAGTTTATGGACTGGTTGTTTAAAATGATTAATTTGATTGCTTAATAGATTTGGTCATTTCATTAATTAAACTTTGGAAGATTATTTATAACTTGTCTATGAGATTATAAATAGTTTAAGACAAATATATTGAGCACGTTAATGAAGCCTAGAGATAGGATAAATTAATTGATATAATTTAATTCTTGTCTATGAGAAATAAATTCAATTGTTTAATATGAAAAATCGAATTAATTAATGAAGTTGACCATTTCGTTAGCTAAAATTTGGAAATTTATATCTATCTTGTCTATGAGATTAGAATATAATTTAGGCTAACCATTTTAAACTTATTAATGAAGCCTAGAAGTAGGATAAATTAGTGAAGTAACTTAAATCTTGTCAATGAGAAAAGAAATTACTAGTCCAACCTTTAGTTATAAATTCTCCTAATAATTCGGTCCAAGGATGTAGCCATATTTTATAATTCAATTCATTTCTCTTCTTTGATCAATCCATTTAGATTTTAGGATGTTTTCTTTTAGATTGAAATTTGTTGGTCCGGTCTGGTCTGGCTGGTCTGAACTGGTCCGGTCTGGTCTGGTCTGAACTGGTCCGGTCTGGTCTGGTAAACGTATGGTCTCTGTGTATTTTATAACTACGGAAGTCAAGTCTGGTCTGGTCTGGTCTGAGACTGAAACAGTCCAAAAGAAAACATCCTTAATATTATATCTTTCATTTAGTTTATTTTTGGGCTATCATTAGTATTTTCATAAATTGTTTTACTTTCTTTTTCAAAAGTAGTTTAGAAATTCAATCAAAAGTTTTAATTTGGAAAGCTTCCAATAATTTGTGATAACCTGTGACTGGACTTAAAATCAAGAAACTCCTCTGTCATTCCTCAAGAGACACGATACTCGGGGGGAAACCGAAAGGTTAGACTCCGTTTTACTATAACGCTGCAAAAGCGGTTGTCAAATGGTGTCGTTCTCGGGGAATGCCAGGTGAAATTTTGATTTTGATTTTAGCATGAGCGAATTCAAGTTAGGGAGACTTTCTTTTTCTTTTGTTCTCACGTGTTTGCTTGAGATTTCCTCATGGATTAGTCAAGTGAACACCTCCATTCTCAACCACTATATCAATATCCATATTATGAATGCCAAAATTTCCAAAATAATCAAAATGAAAAATACTATGAGAAAGATTATGAGGATAACAATCAATGGTGCGAAAATCCACCTTTGGGGTATGAAGATTACCAATTTCAAGGTAATTATTTCCACTAACTCCAAAACTTTGAAGGCTATAATGATTTTTTCTATCAAGTAATTGTCATGACGATTTTAATTATCAAGAAAATTATCACGAAAGGCTAGAAAACCATTACACAAGCACAAACGAGTACTCCTACGAGAATGACTCTGGAATTTCACCTTATCCTCAAAACGAGCTCGAAGAGTTAAAATCGTCCTAACTCAATTGTGTGGAAGACTTAAAAAAACTAGGATTGAACTAGCATCTCTTGACGAGGGTTTCATATAGTTGTTTGAAT